CCAAGCCACCGCCGCATCAATTACGACCCCATCGGCGATTGTGAGAACTGTTAATTGCAGTGCGCATACGGTCCCACGGCAGCCACGTGCTATAAATACTGCACTCCTGGTGCCACCTTCACCTCTATCTGCGAATGTCTCTGATGATGGATTCGAGTGAGAATCCGAAACGTCAGGCAAATAAACTTCTTGTTCCAGTGATCGCATCTTCATCTTCTGAGTTGGATGTCAGTTAAGGGGTTGACTTCCGAACACCTAAACGTGCTGCGTTCTGTAGCCCGTACCAACAGAGGAAGAGGGAGATGAATTCGTTTTATTTTAAAATTATAAATGCATTGTGGACAGAAAATGAGATAATTAATCGCCCATGTGACCAAAAGTTTTACACAAAAGCAACGACAATTATGAGATCAGTCCTGGTTTTAGCTTTTGTATTTCTGTTTCTTACCACGCAAGACAGCGCGGCAGCAATGGCATTACAGAATATTGTTATGCCAATTTACGACAAGACCTAAGTCGAAAGCCAAGACCATGGGGTTGAAAGACTTCAGAGAAATTAGTTTGGAATGAAGAAGATGGGCAGAGTCATCCAGAATTCGACCAGCAAACTGCTTGATAGGTTTGAGGTATTGTTGTTGGATAATATCAACTATTGGATATAATGAACACAGGCAGTGGAAGAGAGACAAAGAAGCTGATAAACTTAAGTCAAATGGGACACAATATGGGAGACATGAAGAACTTGATGACAAAACAATGCCAAGGTACTCGAAAGTGGATTCGACGTTGAGAAGAATGTCAAAGGATTCAAGACAAAGGGAGCATCGCAGTCGGAAAATACACTGAACTAATTTTAATTGCTTTAATTTGATTCTCCCGCGACCATACTGAGGCAGTGGCAAGACAACAATTTAGAGACTGATTTGTCTAATTATTGGATGGACGGTCAACAACCCCATCATCAGCATACTTAACTATCAGACAGCTGCTTAGGGATTCGAAATCAACAGTGTGGAGGGAGAAGATGTGAGACGATAAAAGAGAGCCTTGGATCATTGGGAAGGGCTGTAGATTTCTGCTTGCCAGAATAGACGAATTGCGTTCGGGAAGTAATCTGATCCCGGATCCAACAGACAACCAAGCCTTGAGAGCCGCAAGCAGATGTTTTGGTAAGGAGAAGAGGACGCGTGCTTTCAGTGAATGCGGAGAAGTAGTCAAGAAACGCACCTGCATACTCGCGACATCTATCTAATTCCGTTAGGCACCGAGTGAATCAGAAGTGCAACAGCATCTAAGGTACTAGGCTCGGTTTTCTATGGAAATTTTAAGGGATTCGAAAAACTGTAAGAGAATGACTTCATAATATCGAGAGCAATTGATTCAGCAAGCTTTAATCGTGCGGTAAAGCATGCCATTTAACAAAATGATTTAGAACCAAACTTTGGGCTCAATGAGAAGGATGTTACTATGGCGTATTAAAACAGGGGCTATAAAAGAGCAACAAGACTTAAGAACAAATGCTGAGACACCATCCGGTCCGGCAGCTGTTGATCCCCCACGTCTTTAAGGTGGTTGTCTACTGTTGTCCTGGACACAGGTTGGAATACACATGATGGTCGGGAAATGTCGTTTGAAGGGGGATAAGTGTCGTAGTGAATATGGAGTCTGAGTTAGCATCATCATGTACCAGTGTGCTACGATGGCCAGTGAGACGCCATTGAGATTCTCCCATATTTCAGCATTGGAAGGAGGATAGGAAGGAGGGGAATAGGAGGTAAAATGATAACTAACAAAAACTTCATTAAGTCTTGCAATCTCCTCCTTTACATGGATGTTAACGTCCTTCAGCCTGTCACGTAAAACTTGCTTGTAGAGGAGGTCCATTTTGTCCTTACAAGTTCAGATATAGAGAAGAAATTCTAGCCGGTTTTAACAAGAAATTATTAAGAGGACAACAAATATCAAAAGCTGCATTAAAAAACGTTGTACAGTGGCTATCCCGTTGTTTATGGAAGACGAGAATAGTATAAGAAACGCAAGTCTGTAGCAGACAAATTTTTTGTGCGGACATGTCTCAAAGTCCAGGCCTACGTAACGGTGTCGTTTAGGGATGGAGTAGATTTTTGAAAGGCCCGATAACGTAGAATGATGCGGGCTTGAATACGGGGCTCAAATTTAACACAACACGCTTGAGGTAGTTGGCCAAATTGTGATATAGTGGGACATCAGTGAGAGTATTAAAGGAGGACAAGAACATCGAAGCCTAATATTATGCACGAGTTAAATAAGCGCATAAGAGAATGTAGTGAGTGACCGATCTCGTAAATTGTTGGCTGAAATTCATAATCGTATGGCGTTTCGGACACGCCACGATTTGGTTCTTAAAGGCGTCTCTTTTTGACCCCCTGCAGAAAACATTATCGACAAAAATAACTACATATGTAGCATGAATTTTTCGCATTCATTATCAAATTTCAAGATATACTTTGTGGAGAACATGCCTGAAACATGCTATCTTTTACTCGTTTGGTATATGTTTGTAAATGTTCTCCATGAATTATAATGGAATTTTTAAGGGCACTGGAATCCGCATCGCCTACAGGACAGACGGTCACCTTCTGAATCAACGACGGATGCACTTCCATTCGCGCGTATCCACAACCACAGTTCATGGACTTCTCTTCGCCGACGACTGTACCCTGAACAGCACCTCAGAAGAGGAGATGCAACGGAACATAGACCTGTTCTCCGCCGGGTGCGAGAACTTTGGGCTGGTCATTAACACGCAGAAAACGGTAGTGATGCACCAACCGCCACCCAACTCGGCCACAGCCCCAACGCGCCGCCGCAAATCAGCGTGAATGGGATGTACACAAAGCAGGCACGCTGTCTGAACCACTTCCACCTCAGTTGTCTTCGACGGGTCCTGAGGCTCAACTGGCAGGATGGAATCCCCGACACTGATGCGCTTTAACGGACGGGAATCCTCAGCATCTACACAATGCTGAGACAACTGCAGCTGCGCTGGAGCCGCCACCTGGTGCGCATGGACTACGAGCGACTATCCAAACGACTCTTCTACGGAGAAGTCGCAACGTGTTCTCGCCGCCAAGGAGACCCAATTCGCCGATACAGGGATACGCTGAAGTCCTCCCTGAAGCGTCTGCAAATCAACAAGACCAACTAAGAAGAACTCGCACTCGATCGACCGACCTGGAGGAGGACATTGAAGACAGACGCTGCGATTTGCGAAGCCAACCGCATCGCTGCCGCCAAAGCGAAACGCGAAGCCCGCAAATCACAACTTCGCTCAGTCTGGAACTCCGGCGCACAACCGCTTCCAATGTGTCCTCGATGCAAACGGACATTCCGGGCTCGAGTCGGACTTGCCTGACATCTTCGAATCAACTGCGCCTCTCGAACTGCACCAACCATCGTCCCCCCGTTCGCCTCTTCCTCGTCCTCTCCGCCGCCAACTAACTCTGACATTTCTTCTGAACCACCACTTCCATCCTCCTCCTCCTCCTCCTCCTCCTCCTCCTCTTCCTCTCTCCCAACGACGGCCGCTCAGGCGGGCGTCCGCAAATCACCAACCCTGACACAACAATCGACATCCTCCGCGCTGCCTCCTACACCAGCGATCATGATCAGGACTACACCTGCCCTCAATGGAACCGCACCTTCACCTCACACATCGGCCTAGTCGGTCATTTGCGAATCCATCGCACAGAGACTGGCGAACCAGTGACTGAAGCACCAACCTACACCCGCCACACTCGACTCAACTGCCCACACTGTCCTCGCACTTTCAGCATCGTATGGGCCTATTCGGCCACATGCGCATCCACGACTACCTGCGGTAGAAAACCGCCGGTTACAACACACCAAAACACCCTCCCGCCCTGCCTTCTCCACCGCCACTACCCCACCACACATCAACACTCACCCACCGCATGCACCCAACTGCCACCTTCCACGCAATTGGGAAGTGTGCATATCGACTCGGTCCCCATGCGGCTTCGGCTGCAGGGGTGACTAGTCTGAGACTATCCCGACACGACAAGCGTCGTGGATAGGACGGTTGCTGGTTGACGCCCCCACTCGGTCCACGCATTCCGTCCCGTTGTGTGTGTGTGTGTTGTGTGGAGTGTTGGACTGGAGGGCTGGAGACGGGCTGAAACAGCACATTTCATGACTCTCTCGCAAATGAGAGATTCGCCGTTAAACTCCCGTTGTGTGAAATCCTGGTGTATATGTGTTTCTCGGGGGTCAGGTCATGCACGTGGCGCATGCAGACATGTTCAGTCGAACATGACAGCCACCGCGCCCATTTCCCACTCCAGTCTGTTGACCGATTCGGACAGTGGCCGGGGTGTCGGAGTGGGCAGGGAGAGTGAGGTCGACGACTCAGCGCACTTTCTCCTCACTATAAACAATCTGGCAAGTTTGAAGTTATCACGGTGCGGTAAAAGCCGTGACTTGGAAATTTGCCAGCTGGCGGGATAACTTTGTCCTCCCCCTTGACTGGTGGTGGTCTGAGAGTCAGGCTGCAATGGCTCCTTCTTAATGTGGCTTTTATGGCACTCCCACCACAGTATGAGATCCGATCCAGGCGTTGGCGGCACGCCTAGTTGCGGCCTCGTCAGTGCCAGTCTACACTCTCGGTTGTGCTTGTCAAAATCCTGGTTATTGTTGTGTGGACCAGGGGATCTGATAGAACGCCAAGGACAGGATCCGCCCGAGCCATCCGCCTGCGGCCTCCCTCGTCTCCGGTCTTCTTGACTCTGTCTTAACGACAGGCTCAGGCGAGGGAGGAGGGAGTGTGTAGGTAGATGGAACGCAAGTCTACTGGCACTATACACCCCTGCGCAAGTCACCGTCCCTGCTCCCACAACGCAGTCTGTGGGGCACACGGTGGACATCGTCGAAATCGACGGTCGAACTGTCGTGTGTGTGGGTGGGGGGGGGGGTGCAAAGATGTCCAGCGATGGGTTCATGTGATGGTCGTCGTGGTCACTAACTTGCTTCCAGGTGAGACTACGCCTAGCGTCTATTTGCTGGCACACAACTCTCGCCTGTGGTTCCACGAAGCTGAGCTCTGCTCACCGGCCACACCTCGGGCAACCGCCTCGACCTGCGAGCTAAACCAGGTGACGGCGGTCACTTCAGGTGCGTGGGTGCCACGTGTACAGGGTACTGCGGAGTCCGCTGGACGGTTGGTCGGATGGAACACCGTGTTGGCGCCGTCGTTAGGAGGCTCCGTCTGGTACGCTGCTGATCAGGGGGTTGATGGAACGTCGCAACGGCATCATCGTCGAGTCGAGGCTCCGCCTGGTACGCCGCTGGTCAGCCGGTGCCGGGATGGATCTCCGAAACGGCATCGCCGAGACGCGCCCATCTGGTGCACCGTAGGAGACCGCGGGCTTACAGTGATGTCGTAAGCCATTGGCAAATTCGAGTCTTTCTTCCACTACCAAAAAAGCGTGGCCCTTACTCGAGTTCGGCCGCGCAGGCACATTAAAAGCAACCCTATTCAGGGTGGGGGGGGACACTGCTTCTCTTCGGAGGGGGCCTGGAAAAACTGGCCTAAAGATTGTTGGTGAACCACGTCGTCTGCAGGCTGACCGTGGTCGCAGTCGTTAAAGTCACAATCGAAACAATCAAAATCGAAATTGCAACAACACTACTCGTTCTCGTCATCCTACCTCTTCCTTTTCTTCCTCTGCATATTCTTCTCCTTCGCCATCTTCTTCTCCATCTCCTTCCCGTCCCACTCGTCGCCAGACTGGCAGGATGAGTCCGCCCACTCTGGCAGCCTGGAATGTTCGTTCCCTTTTAGACAGTCCGACGAAAGACCGACCGGAACGGAGAACGGCTCTAGTGGCACGAGAACTGGCGCGCTACAAGTTGGATATCGCCGCACCCAGAGATACTCGATTCTCCGAACAAGACCAAATGGAGAAGGTGGGTGCCGGTTACACCTTCTTCTGGAGTGGTCATCTCAGGGCAGAGCAACGAGACTCGGGTGTCGCCTTCGCCATCCGGAACGACATCGTGGGAGGACTGCCCTGTTTGCCTCAGGATATTAACGATCGCCTGATGAGCCTCCGCCTGCCTCTCCGGCGGGGGGTGGGGGGAAATTCACCACCATCATCAGAGCTTACGTTCCGCCGTTGACCAGCCACGACGCCTCCGCCGCAGGAGACAAATTCTGCGAGGACCTGCACGCCCTCTTGGCGACTGTGTCGAAGGTGGACAAGTTGGTTGTCCTTGGGAACTTCAGCGCCCGCGTCGGCACAGAACATACTGTCTGAAGAGGCACCTGGAGAACATCTTCTTCTGTCTGCCGTAGCGAGAGAAGGCCACCTGGAGGCATCCTCGGTCGCGTCAGTGGCACCTGCTGTACTATGTCCTCGTTCGGAGGCGAGATCAGCGGGACGTGCTGGGGACAAAGGCGATCGCGGGCGCTGACGGGTGGACCGACCATTGCCTCGTCATCTCGAAGATGTGTATTCGCCTACAGCCTCGCAGGGGACCACAAGTTGAGCGACCTCCAGGTAAGCTGAATATTGCCTTGTTGTCTTTGCCCGCTCACTATCTTCATTTAAGCAATGAATTAGCTCAACGGCTAGACAACCTTCCAATCGCTGCCGACTCCGACGCCGCCGCTGCCGAGAACGCTTCCATGGAGAACCGCTGGAGTCCACTGCGAGACACGGTCCAGTCAACGGCGCTAGCCGTCCTCGGTCGCGCATGCCGTCAACATCAGGACTGGTTCGACGACAACGACGCCGGCATCAGCAATCTGCTCGCCGAGAAGAACTGCCTACAAATAGCCTACGTACACCACTCCACCGACGACAACAGAGCTGCTTTCTACCGCAGTCGCCGCCATCTTCAGCTAAGGCTGCGCCGACACGTCAAGCGTCGTGGATAGAAAGGTTGCCGATTGAGGCCCCACTCGGTCCACGCAGGCCGTCCCGTTGTGTGTGTTGTGTGGAGTGGCGGACAGGTGGGCTGGGAGACGGGCTGAAACAGCACCTTCCACGTCCCTCTGACGCGAGTGAGAGACACGCCGTTCAACGCCTGTTGTGTGAAATCCTGGTGTGTGTGTTTGCGTGTATGTGGGGCCAGGTCGTGCACGTGGCGCACGCAGACATGTTCAGTCGACCATGCCAGCCACCGCCCTCATTCCCCACTCCAGTCTGCTGACCGGCTCGGACAGTGGCTGGGGTGTGGGAATGGGAAAGAAGAGTGAGGTCGACGACCCAGCGCACAACTTCTCGTTGAATACTAACGAATCCGTCACTCCCCCTACCGGTGACGAACATCTCGACGCCTCGTCAACCATCGATACTACCACCATTGCCCACAATACCAGTCCCGCGGGCTAGATCACAATCTGTCGTCATTGCGACCACACGTACGCACTAAGCATCTGTCGCCTTAATGCTGGGAAGTTCCGTAGCTGGAGCACTATGTGCACTTTTCGCGTCGCCCCAACTTTCTACGCATATCCAGTTGAGTCATGGGCAAACTCAGCCCGATGTGCCTCCATACGAATTAGTGGTAACCACCGCAGCTAAGTTACATCTCCCCACCAACATATTCATCGTATCCGCTCCCACCTCAGATCGCCGGTCACAAGCAGTAAAGCAGCAGCACTCATGTAGTCGGGAACTGTGTTCTTCACCTTCTTCACTATGTAACCTCTATGGCATTTCAACACGAGCGGAATCCGAGCCGCTCTTCTCCATGTTAAAAGAGGATGCGTTGTTCGTAGGGAAATTTCGTTTTCAGCACGCGTAGGCGAAGTCATTCATCTCCGTCAGATACTGGGCCTGATCTCTGCATTACTCGGTAGATCAGCTCGGAAAGTCGACCGATGTAGGGCCGAGGGGAAAGATAGGGGTTCGAAACCTAGGGACATCTATTCCAGTGCACTTCAGCTCATCTCTCACCCTATTAAATACGGCGTGCTTGAATCTACCGAGGCGCACAAACGTCATTGGTCTGGAAGTTCTCAGCTGACGGAAAAACTCGGTCACCCTCTGAAGATGGTCGGTCATACTGCAATGGCAGCTGTTCAATGTGGCCTTCGTGGCGTCCCTCAACTGGAACCCGAGTCCACACCCTTTTTGTTCCTTCAAAACCTTGCCCCATCGCGCTCGCTTAAGATGTGCCCATGTGCAGGCAGACTGCCTTACTTTGTCATCCACTTTACCCGATCCTGCCTCCGGTCCTCTTGACTCCCGACATAGGGCTTAGGGGGATGAGGGAAGAGAGAATTCGGTGCATTCAACACATGTCTATTATCACTATGAAGTAATTCACGCATGACTCAGTGTTCCTGTGCCCGCGAGGCTGTAGGAACGTTATATATCAACGCCAGCGACAGTCACTCACTGTCTTAAATGAATTGAGCCCTTCGGAACCGAAACTAAACCGCCTATTCACAATCTCCGGCCTCGTCGTCGACCGGCTTTTAGAAGTGTCATGAAGGGCAACACCTCATAGCCTTAAATATACTAAACTGTACTGAAATATCTGATGAACTCTTGATTTGACATTGCGATATTCATCAAAAGTTTTGTAATTGTTCGCATTGTATTCAGGGCTGGCAAAAATGCAGTCGAGTCGGTTCCATCGTCACCGTACTCAATAGCAATATTCTTCTAATCTATCAGGGGAGGGTTTGACATAATGATTCACGTGGTTGTCACCGTGACCTAACGATAACGATTTTTCCATTTGCTGTGATACGATGCGGCGGAATTCCTGAATTCAGATCTTCCTTAGTGATAACATCACTGTTTTGTAGGCACAGTAATAAAATAGTAGAATTTTGATATCAAAATTGTCGCAGTTTACAGTGACTATGTATTTGATACAAATCTGTAAATCACGCCATCAGTCATTATTGCCTAATCAGGCTTTTTTTAAACACAATTATGAGCCAAACCATACGGCCACTTTTGCTGGACAATGTCTATTTGTCAACGAGTACAGCATCGCATGCGTGTTTAGAGCGAACTTCTTTGTCCAAATGCGAAGTACGGTTGAGAGGAAGAACACGATTATTAGAAGAATAACTACGACTCCACTTTCCCTTTGCTATTCAATCGACGAACGCGATACAAGAGGTTGCTTCTTAAGCTTCTCCAAAGACAATACGATGGTTGCATTTAAGTAAGAAGACGATATTCCTTTGGGATCTGTCCCACACAGGATTATATTTATTCACAGTAATTTTGACATTCTTCAAGACTTCCGAAGTTGTTGATGTTGCCGTCACATCCGTTGTAAGTGAAGAGTTCACACCTTCCCGTGACAACGTCAAAGCCGAATCTCGGATATGGTTCATCGCAACGCCCTGATTCCAAGGGAAGTCTGCAAACTTCAACTTCGAGCATAAAGAACGAAACATCGCTTAGAATGTCAAATCGGCATTTTAGAGGAGATTATGTAGAAAATTGTTGTAAATATCAACGGCACAATTGTTATTTATTAGAATTTAACGAAACGGGTGAGGAATGATCTAATTGTCCTTTTTACGTTAACTTTAAGGAAAATATGGGTCTGTTTGTCTTAGAAAAATATGAACTTTTTTGTAACGCAGAAAAATACGTTGGTCAAGCTGACCACTTTACGGTGGAATAGCGGTAATTCTGCTTATTGAACTTCACTAGTAGGGCTTGGTCGGCAGCCGGCAGAGTTACGCAGCGGTGAATCGAAGCAGTTGTAGCGTGCCGTGTTTCAAACGTCTCCATGGCCGCTTGATCGCTCCCTTGACCCAAGACTACAACGTCTTGGAAAGTGAAGGCGTAGCCAAAAGCTGAGCAATGTTTCGCCACCATCGATAGGTGATTCCTTCTTCGTAGCGCTCTTGCATGTTCGTCCATGCTGCTCTGCAATCTTTTCCCGGTGTCTCAAACGTAGTTTGCTTCTCGGGAACTAGACGGGATCCGATTGACGACGTTGGCTGTTTCGCCTCATGACAGAGGTGTTTTTGGCCTCATGACCATACGTCTAGTTTTCGCTTCGGGTTTGTGGGCGATGCCGATACCCAATGGTAGCAAGATACGAGCAACTGCCTCGGAAAAGTTAGCAATATATGGCAGTGTTCGACAGACTTTCGGTTGATTTGCCGTTGACTTTATGGTTGGTCTGGACAGTCTGCTGTGTTTTATAAAGCTGCGGCCCCCGAAACAGTAGTGTATCAATCTACCCATATTATCTGTCGTCCTTCCCCGTTGCTATTATGACTTGGCCGACGCCGGCCTCGTAATTGGCTGCCTGTTCATGACCTTTGCCGCCCATACGGAGCTTGCTTGCTTCGTGAGGCCAATAAATTATTAATTATATTGAAGTCACAGGACACGCTCGTGCCGTTGTGCTTTAGGACTTAATCTCGAAGCCTCGCAGGCGGTCGCATAGCGACTAGTAACGTACGCATATGGTGGAATATCGATAAAGAAAATGGAGACCAAAGTGGTGATGACGTGACTTGATCAGTGAGCGCCACTTCAGCAAAATTAATATTCCTGAACACAACCGACAGGACAATGAGCTCGTCGCTCATTGATCGAGCAGTCTACTCAATAACAAAAGATCACGGCTTCGAATCCCAGGTGGTTCACACTTGGGATTGGATATCAATGGCTGATGACAACTTATAAGCCATAAATGTTCATTCCGGTCCCCCTTGTCTTTGTCGTTATTCCACCATATGCCCACTTTACTAGTCGCTCTGCGACTGCCTGTGGGGGTTCGAGATTGAACCCCACGGCACAACGGGACAAACATGTCTTGCGGCTCGCTCAGTGAGCGTTATTTCACCATAATAGATATATATATATATATATATATAGCAACGAGGAGGGACGACAGAGAATGCGGGTAGATTGATACAGCACTGTTTCGGGCTTATTCTGCCTTCATTCAGCCAATCATAACCCTGACCACCAGCAGCTGCGACCAGAAACACAAACATGCGCACAGACGCACCTGGCGCAGTCGGTCCACCACTGAGGCCTACCAGATGGGTCATAAGCACTTCATCGAACCGAAGTTCATCAGTGCCTCGCCACCTGTCATTCTCTGTCGCTGCAGATCGGGTATTTATCAATCAGGAATGGGCGCACACCGATCTATTGGCTTCACAAAGCAAACAAGCTCCGTATGTGTGGCAAAGGTCACGAACAGGCAACCAATTACCAGGCCGAAGTCGGCCAAGTCATAATGGCAACGAGGAGGGAGGACAGAGAATGCGGGTAGATTGATACAGCACTGTTTCGGGCTTATTCTGCCTTCATTCAGCCAATCATAACCCTGACCACCAGCAGCTGCGACCAGAAACACAAACATGCGCACAGACGCACCTGGCGCAGTCGGTTTACCACTGCGGCCTACCTACACTATTGTTGTTAAGGTCAGCCATGTGCACAATCTGCCTAAAATACTTCAAACCCCCACCAAGTACTCGATAACGTGAATTTAAATCCTGATTTGGGCAAAGAAACGACAAATGTTTTACTAATACTGGATACTGTACATGATGAAGGCCAGTTTTCAGTTACTCTCCATCGCATTTCAATATGCGTGAAATAAAGGAAGGTGACAGCACATTTTGAACAAAAACTCGTGTCCTTTTTGAATTGCCCACCCATACGGAGCTCGTTTACTTTGTGAAGCCAATAGATAGGTGTGCGTCCATTCCTGGTTGAATAAATAGCCGATCTGCAGCGACAGAGACTGACAGGTGGCGAGGCACTGATGAACTTCGGTTCGATGAAGTGCTTATGACCCATCTGGTAGGCCTCAGTGGTGGACCGACTGCGCCAGGTGCGTCTGTGCGCATGTTTGTGTTTCTGGTCGCAGCTGCTGGTGGTCAGGGTTATGATTGGCTGAATGAAGGCAGAATAAGCCCGAAACAGTGCTGTATCAATCTACCCGCATTCTCTGTCGTCCCTCCTCGCTGCTATTATGACTTGGCCGACTTCGGCCTGGTAATTGGTTGCCTGTTCGTGACCTTTGCCACACATACGGAGCTTGTTTGCTTTGTGAAGCCAATAGATCGGTGTGCGCCCATTCCTGATTGATAAATACCCGATCTGCAGCGACAGAGAATGACAGGTGGCGAGGCACTGATGAACTTCGGTTCGATGAAGTGCTTATGACCCATCTGGTAGGCCTCAGTGGTGGACCGACTGCGCCAGGTGCGTCTGTGCGCATGTTTGTGTTTCTGGTCGCAGCTGCTGGTGGTCAGGGTTATGATTGGCTGAATGAAGGCAGAATAAGCCCGAAACAGTGCTGTATCAATCTACCCGCATTCTCTGTCGTCCCTCCTCGCTGCTATTATGACTTGGCCGACTTCGGCCTGGTAATTGGTTGC